TTCTGTATATCGCCATCCTGGATATAGACAGGGAAATGGAAGGAGTGTATGGAGGAGGTCAGGTGACTTTCAGTAGAGTTGTAATAGGGAGGAGCTGGTAGGTCTACTAGTAGAACTGGTGGAGTCTCCGAGTATTAGACCTGGGACAGCATCTGGGCAACAACCTTAGGAAAATGAGGGTAAGAAATGGTGATGGGTGTGGTGTGGTCTTTCTTAGGGACTGTGGTATGGGTGCACGGTTAATTAGGAAACTTTCACAAAGTTCTCGGGAATACCAGGGATGGAGAGAGGCTTATGTGAGAGAAAACTGGATTGGTGTTGTGCTTAGGAAGACAAGAACCTGATCAAGCCTGGAATGAAATTTGAGGCTTGAGGTCAGCTTATAGAAGTCTGAATTTGGGCAGAGGACTCTGTCTTGGTAAAGGTGTATTTCTTGTCTTTCAAAGATGTTTCTGTTATGTGCCAGCATTTGTTCTCGTTATTTAATGTAATGCAGGGGGCAACGTGAGGTACTTTGAAAAGTTTGTGGAAAGAAGCAGTTGTGAGTTTGCTTTCAAGACATTTTGATAAACTGCGTACAGCTTTGTCGTGGTGCATGTTTTCCATATCCTTCTAGGCAGCTCTGTGTGAAAGCTTCTGCTTTCATGGAGTTTTTGTTCTGATTGCTGTTTGGGGGCTGGGGATGACTTAGTCCTGCAGGACTTTACCAGGTAGGAGTTCTTGAAATATCTTCCTCTTAGGTTGCAATGTATACTTTGTAGTACTTCCTATTCCTCATTTGATTTTGTCCATCTCTGATATTTCCATTTGCTTTTTTTTATTTTTATTTTTACAGGCAGAGTGGACAGAGAGAGAGAGACAGAGAGAAAGGTCTTCCTTTGCCGTTGGTTCACCCTCCAATGGCTGCCGCGGCCAGTGTGCTGCGGCCAGTGCACCACGCTGATCTGATGGCAGGAGCCAGGTGCTTCTCCTGTTCTCCCATGGGGTGTAGGGCCCAAGCACTTGGGCCATCCTCCACTGCTTTCCTGAGCCACAGCAGAGATCTGGCCTGGAAGAGGGGCAACCGGGACAGAATCCGGCGCCCCGAACGGGACTAGAACCCAGTGTGCTGCCGCCACAAGTCAGAGCATTAGGCTAGTGAGCCATGGTGCCGGCCTCCATTTGCTTTTGTGATCCATTAAAACATGTGTTTTTGTTTCACACTGTCACATTTATTAGGAATGCAAATTCTTTCTTAGGTTTTACTTTATAGGATGTGTCATTCTTTACAATGCAGTGTTATTTTTCAGTCATACTTATTCTGAATTATATAGCTTTTATACTCTTACTTTTTAGGTTATTTCTGCAGAAAGATTTTCAAGCTTACATTTTGATAAAAGTCATATAGGATTTTCCAAGTACAGAATTCTATGAACATACACATTTTATATATTAAATTTTCCTGTAATGTGAGTGCTTACCTATTTTATGTAAATTTCCATCAAACATTGATATTGTCTCCAGTGGATATATTTGTTTTTTCAGCTAAAAATTTCTTCAATATATTTTATAGAACAATACTGAGAATAAAGCAACATTCCCTTCTTTCTGCTCTCCTTCCAACACTATCTCTCCCAGTGTACCTCTTCCTTTCTTTCTCCTTTTGTCCCTCTCTTCCTTACTTCCTTACTTTCATCATTTTTGGATAGTTTTTAAATTTGCTTTAGAGTAAAAAGGCTAAATGCTTTATCAAATAAGAAATTTAAGAACTAGAAAACAAGGTGGGGGCAATGTTTGGCATCCCATACGGGCGCTGGTTCAAGTCCCATTTACTCCACTTCTTTTTTTTTCCAAGATGTATTCATTTATTTGAAAGACAGTGGTATAGAGAAGCAGAGGCAGAGAGAGTGAGAGAGACGTCTTCCATCCATGGGTTCACTCCCTGAACTGCACAATGGCTGGGGTTCACTGATCTGAAGCCAGGAGCCAGGAGCTTTCTCAGGGTCTTCCCATGTAGGGGTAGGTACCCAAGGACTTGGGCCATGTTCCACTGCTTTCCCAGGCCATAGCAGAGAGCTGGATCAGAAGCACCCTTACTCGTTATGCCACAGCGCCGGTCCCTACTCCATTTCTGATCCAGCTCCATGCTAATGCACCTGGGAAAGAAGCAGAGGACAGCCCAAGTGCCCGTGACTTTGCACCCCAGTGGGAGACCTGGGAAATGCTCCTGGCTCCTGGCTTCCTTTTGGCCCAGTCCTGGCTCTCTTGGCCATTTGAGAAGTGAACCAGCAGATGGAAGATCTCTCCCTCTTTCTCTCTGTATGTAACGGTGTCTTTCTAATGAATAAAGTAAATCTAAAAATAATGAAAAAGCAGAAACCCTAAGTTAGTGGTAATATAAGCAGCAAATATAATCAGTTGAGTGTAAAAATGACCATTTTACCCATACACCCTAAATAAAAGTAATCACAGATCATTAAAACTAGACTAACACAATATTATTGTTTCCTTTAATTTTTTTAAGGTTTACTTTTACTTATTTGAAAGACAGAATTATGGAAAGAGGTATAGAGATAGAGAGAGGTCTTCCCTGTGCTTGTTCATTCCTCAAATGGCCAAAATGGATAGAGCTGAGCTGATCCAAAGTTCTGAACCATGATCTTCTTCCCTTCTTCCAGGTCTTCCACGTGGTTGCAGGGGCCCAAGGACCTGGGCCATCTTCTTCTTCTTCTTCTTCTTCTTTTTTTTTTTTTGACAGGCAGAGTTAGAGAGAGAGACAGAGAGAAAGGTCTTCCTTTTCCATTGGTTCATCACCAAAGTGGCCGCTACAGCCTATGCGTTGTGGCCAGCGTGCTTCGCCAATCCGAAGCCAGGAGCCAGGTGCTTGCTCCTGGTCTCCTATGTGGTTGCAGGGCCCAAGGACTTGGGCCAGCCTCCACTGCACTGCTGGGCCACAGCAGAGAACTCGACTGGAAGAGGAGCAACTGGGATTAGATCCGGTGCCCATATGGGATGCCAGCACTGCAGGAGGAGGATTCACCTCATGCACCACGGCACTGGCCACTAGTGTACTGTTTTGCCACATCCTTTCCAACATTTGTTGTTTGTTGATTTCTGTATGCAAACCATTCTAACTGTGGTGAGGTGAAACTTCATTGTGGTTTTGTTTTGCATTTCCCTAATGGCTAGTGATCCTGAGCACATGTGTCTGTTGGTCATTTGCATTTCCTTCCTTGAAGAATGTCTGTTCAAGTCTGTTGCCCATTCTTAACTGCATTGTTTGTTTTGTTGTTGTTGAGTTTCTTGAGCCCTTTATACATTCTGGATATTAACACTTTATCAGGTCATAGTTTGCATATATTTTCTCTCATTCTGTCAGTTGCCCTTCACTTGCTGAGTTTTCAGCTTCTCAGCTTGATGTAATCCCATTTGTGTGTTTTTGCTTTTATTGCCTGTACGTCTGGGTTCCAAGAAGTCTGCATCTGGCAATGTCTTGCATCATTTCCACAATGTTCTCTAAGAATTTGATGGTATTAGGTTGTACATTTAGGTCTTTGATCCTTTTTTGAGTTTTTTTTTTTTGTAAGAATAAGGTAGGTTTTTATTTTCATACTTCTCCATGGGAGATCCACCTTTTATGCACCATTTTTTGAAGAGACTGACCTTGTCACATGGTTGGATTTTAGATCCTTTGTCAAAGATAAATTATTTGCAGATGTGTGGATTGAGTTTTGGAGTTTCTGTTGTGCTCCATTAGTCCACATGTGTATTCTTTACCAGTATCAGGCTGTTTTGTTTGTAACTGTCCTGAAGTATGTCTTGAATTCTGGTATTGTGATGCTTCTGGCTTTGTTGTTCACATATAAGATTCCATTAGCTATTCTGGGCCTCTTGAGTTTCCATTTGAATTTTAGCATCTTTTTTTTTTTTTTTTTTTTTTTTTTTGACAGGCAGAGTGGACAGTGAGAGAGAGAGACAGAGAGAGAAAGGTCTTCCTTTTGCCGTTGGTTCACCCTCCAATGGCCGCCGCTGCAGCCGGCGCACCGCGCTGATCCTGGCAGGAGCCAGGAGCCAGGTGCTTTTCCTGGTCTCCCATGGGGTGCAGGGCCCAAGCACCTGGGCCATCCTCCACTGCACTCCCTGGCCATAGCAGAGAGCTGGCCTGGAAGAGGGGCAACCGGGACAGAATCCGGCGCCCCAACCGGGACTAGAACCCGGTGTGCCGGCGCCGCAAGGTGGAGGATTAGCCTATTGAGCCACGGCGCCGGCTGAATTTTAGCATCTTTTTCCCCTAGATCTGAAAAGAATGTAATTGGCATTTTAATTGGGATCACATGAATTTGTAAATTGCTTTTGGTACTATGGACATTTTGATTATATTGATTATTTTAGTCCTTGAATATTAAAGCTTTTTCCATTTTCTGTGTATTCTGTTTCTTTCACTAAGTTTGCTAATTTTCATAGTAGACATCTTTGGCATTCTTGATTAAATTTATTCCATGGTATTTAATTTTTTTGTTCCAATTGTTAATGGGATTGATCTTAGAAGTTCTTTCCCAGCCATGGTGCTCCAGGCCAGGGTGTTAACCTGCTTTGCCACAGCACCGGCCCTATTTCCCATCCCTCTTCATCCTCCATCCACTATTCCCATTCTTATTTAATACAAAAATCTATTTTCAATTATTTTATACTCATAATATAAAACCTACACTATGTAAAGAATTCAACAGTTTGAAAGAATTAAAAACATCCGTTCCTGAAGAGGCAAGACATGGTTTGTTTAAAATCATTCTATCTGCAAGACAAGAGTTGTCTAAATCATTGTATGTCAGTGTATCAATATCACTAACATAGATCACCTTTTAGGTACTCTGTTACCACATTACCACAGATCAGGGAGAATATACGATATTTGTCTTTTTTTGGAAAGGCTTATTTTACAAAGTGTAAGGTTTTACAGTTGCATCTTGTTTGTTCTTTTTGCAAATGACAGGTTTTTTTCTTTTTTTGTACTGGAAAAGGTTTCTTACCTGGAGCACACCGGAGATCAACACAGTCTTAGCCTGGAGCCAAGACAGCTGTCGCCCATGTTTTTGACATGCCTGGCCGCTTCCGGTGCCGCTGTGATTACTGGGAGGAAGAGGCGGGTCCTAGATGACTGGCGCTTGCGCAGTCGGCCTGGTGACTATCAAGAGGATGTTATCTGGTGGTGGCGGCATGTCGTCGGCTGCTGGAATTGTTTGCTGATGGCGGCGTTTTCGGCAGCGGTACTGGCCCGGAGAGTGCGGGAGTGAAGGTGAGTTTTTCTTATGAAACAATGAGAGGCCTGGGACCTCGTGGGGGGGGGGGGTCGTGGCTCCTCCGAGCAGTGTAGACACTCATGTCCTCAGGCTGGGCGGCCATGGGGGCGGGCAGCGGCTCAGCTGTGGGAAGTCGAGAAGCGGGTGGCTGGGCTTGCGCTGGAGGACAGGACTGCGGGTTACAAGGTATGTTTATTTGTAAACTGTAACTTACTTATTTCATCAGTCCTAGCAGTGTTTTTGGTGGGTGGTTTAGTTTTCATTGATTTTTATGAGTCTTTTTAGGTTGTCTATATCTTCTGGATTTAATCTTAGTAGGTTACGTGTATTTGTTATCCAGGGATTTCTCCATTTCTTCTAGTTTTCCTGTTTATTGGCATACAGTACTGAATAGGAATTTCTCTGAAACCTTGTGTTTCAGTGATGTTGATTATAATCTCTGCTTTTTTTCTGTAATTTTATTTACTGGAGTTTTTATCATTTTTGTTAGTCTGGTTAGAAGATTATCTACTTTTTAAAATTTTATATCAGGTATGCAAATTTCATGTATTTCTTATATACAGATTCAAACATACTGATACTACTTTCCATGCTAGCATCTCTGAAGCCTACACTCCCAGCCTTCTTCTTCCTCCTTCTCTTGTTCCCACTCTTAATTCTTCATCAGTTAAAGGTAGGGTGGGCAAGTTCCACGTGAGCTGTGTAGTGATCTTTTATTCAAATAAGTGGCAGAGATGCAGAGATAGGGAAACACAGAGATAGAGGTCTTCCATCTACTGGTTTGCTCCTGAAATGGCCACAGGGCCCAGTCATGGGCTGATCCAAAGCTAGGAGTCAGGAGCTTCTTCCAGGTCTCCCATATGGAGACTGCATTCAGTAAGAGTGGTAAAAGGGACATCCTTGTGTTGTTATATGTTTGACAAAATGATTTCACATTCTCCCCATCCAGCATGACATTGGCTGTTGGTTTGTCATACATAGCCTTTATGATTTTGATATGTATTCCTTCTGTGTATATTTTGTGTAGTTTTTTAATCATTTTTTATTCTTCTGATATCTGTATGTAATTAGAAGATGTGGTTTTCAAAAGATTTATTTCATTTGTTTGCAAGATTTATACAGAGAGATAGAGGTAGAGCAAGAGCAAAAGAGAAGGAGGGAGGGAGAGAGGTCTTCTGTTTGCTAGTGCATTCCCCAAAAGACATTGATGGCCAAACTGAGCCATCAGGATCCAGAACCTTCTTCCAAGTCTCCCATGTGGCTGCATGGCCCCAACTAATTGGGACATCCTCCGACATTTTCCCAGGCATGTTAGGAGGGAGCAGGATTGAAAGTGGAGCAGCCTGGATGCTAAATGGCACCCATATGAGATGCCGGCGTTGTGTGTTGTGGTTTTAACACCCTGTAACACAGTGCCAGCCCAGACAATGTGGTTTATTCTTCCATTATTTTGATAAAATTCATCATGTGTATTAATTTGCAATTGTGGAAGATCATGGCATTTCTGAGATAAATTCCAATTGAAGGTTTTGCGTGAGCTTCAGCATGTGGTTTTGGTTTTGTTAGGCTAGAATTTTGTTGAGAATCTTTGCATCTTTTTCATTATGGATATAGGCCTTCAGTTTTCTTTGTATTTCATGTTTTGTTATCTTTTGTGGTTAAAATAATGCCAGCCTCTCAAAAAGTGTTTGTTAGAGTTGAATCCTACTGCTTCCAGTTTATTATTTTGAAATAGTTGGAAAAGTATTGGAGTTGCTTTTTAAATCTTCAAGCTCCTTGGATACCTTTATTCAAAGGTATTTAAATTTTAGTAGCTATTGTGAATGGAATGGATCTTCGAAGTTGTTTCTCAGCCCTTATATTGTGTTTATACAAATTCTATTGATTTTTGTGTGTTGATTTTCTATCCTGCCACTTTTCCAAACTCTATTATTAGTTCTAATGGTCTCATGGTGGAGTCTCTTGGTTTCCCCATTTATAAAATCATGTCCTTTTGAAAGAGGGATAGTTTGACTTCCTCCTTCCCAATTTGTATCCATTTGATTTCTTTTTCTTGCCTAATGGCTCCTAAACTTCTAGATCTATATTGAATAGCAATAATGAGGGTACATTCTTGTCTGATTCCAGATCATAGTTGGGAATGCTTCCAACTTGTCCCCATTCATAAGATGCTATCAGTCGGTTTGACATAAATTGCCTTGATTGTGTAGAGGAATGTTCTTTCTGTTGTCAGTTTCCCTGAGGTTTTCGTTTTGAAAGGTTTTTGCATATTTTCCAGCTGTTTTCATCTATTGAAATAATTATGTTTTTTAAATATGTATTTAATTGAAAGGCAGATTTGTGGAGTGAGGGAGAGAGATTTCCCAAGAATTTCCAATTCATTGGCAAACAGTACATTGTAGCAATTCCAGATGAATGTTTTTATTTATTGGGTTGCTATTATTACAGTTTGTTTTTCCTTTCTGATTTTACTGATTGGGATCCTTTTTTTAATTTTTTGACAGGCAGAGTGGAGAGTGAGAGAGAGAGAGAGACAGAGAGAAAGGTCTTCCGTTTTGTTGTTGGTTCACCCTCCAATGGCCACCGCAGCCGGAACGCTGTGGCCGGCGCACCGCGCTGATCCGATCGCAGGAGCCAGGTGCTTCTCCTGGTCTCCCATGGGGTGCAGGGCCCAAGCACCTGGGCCATCCTCCACTGCACTCCTGGCCACAGCAGAGATCTGGCCTGGAAGAGGGGCAACTGGGACAGAATCCGAGGCCCGGCCGGGACTAGAACCCGGTGTGCTGGCACTGCAGGTGGAAGATTAGCCTAGTGAGCCGTGCGCCGGCCGATTGGGGTCTTATTCCTGTTTTGTTGTTGTTGTTGTTGTTGTTTTGGAGATTTTCAGCAATTTTCTAAAAAATATTTTTTAGCCAGATTTTCATATCAGTGATCTTTTTTTTTTTTTTTTGACAGGCAGATTTAGACAGAAAGAAAGAAAGGTCTTCCTTTTCATTGGTTCACTCTCCAAATAGCCACTATGGCTGGTGGACTGCGCCGATCTGAAGCCAGGAGCCAGGTGCTTCCTCCAGATCACCCATGTGGGTATAGGGCCCAAGCACTGGGCCATCCTACACTGCACTCCCGGGTCACAGGAAGGAGCTGGACAGGAAGAGGTGCAACCGGGACAGAATCTGGCACCCCAACCGCGAATAGAATCCAATGTGCCGGCGTCGCAAGTGGAGGATTAGCCTATTGAGCCACAGCATTGGCCTCAATGATCTTATTATAATGTATTTCTTCAGCTTTGTCCATTTCTTCTCAAATTTCCATGATTTCTGTCATCCTACTAATTTGGACTTTGATAAGTTGTTTTTCTAGATTTTGTGATGCATTGAAAAGCTCATTCATTTGATTCCTTTCCAATATTTTGTAGGCACAAGTTGTTATAAAGTTTCCTGTTAACATTGCATTTGCTGTGTCCCATACGTTTTGCAGTGTTGTACTGTTATCTTCAGTCATTTCCAGAAATTTCTGGATTTTCATTTTGATTTCTCCTAAGACCAACCATTCATTCAGGAGCATGTTGCTCGGACGCCACGTGTTTGCATACATTCTGGAGTTTCCTGAGTTGTTGATTTCCCATTTCCTTCCATTTTGATCATAGAAGATGCATGAACTTATTTCAGTTATTGAGATTTCTAGGCTTGCTTTATGTCCTATCATATGTTGTGTCCTAGAGAAAGTTCCAGGAACTGATGAGAAGAATGTGTATTCTGCAAGTTGTGCGATGAAATGTTCTAAGTTAGGACTTCCAGCAAGGCAGTCTGTTCCCAGGGACAAAGCGATGAGCGACTGTGTCACCTACAATTTTGACATAGGGGAGGGGCTAGGAAATGACCAAGAGAAGACAGTTCAGGTGTTCTTGTAAGATGCTGTTTTTTAGTTAAGAGGTCCAAATTCCATGCATTTCATAAATGCAATTTAGGTACACAGTGATAGTCCCGACCCTACCTCCCTGTCAGGGGCACAACACGTCGTGTACTTGGTTGTCTGACTCTGGGCAGCAACCCTGGCACCAACCAGGCCAAGGATACTGGGCAGGTACCTGCTGTTCAGTAGCCCTGACCATGGGCAGTTTGGCAGAGCTGTGCACCATCTGGGAGTGGCTGGGTGTTAGCCCGGGAGGTGTAGAGAGCTCCACACTGCCCTGAGCTTCTGGTGGGCTGGATTGGGAGCAACGATGCCCTTGGAGTGCTCCTGATCATGGTGAGCACAGGAAAGGCATGTCAGGCTGGGGCTCAGGCCACGACCCCTGTTTCTTCAAGGCAGTGCAGCCTGTTCTGCTGATGCTGTGTTTCTGGGAGGAAGGGATGGGTGTTAGTTGGGTGATACTTGCGTAGTAGGCCTAGCGGAGAAGTAGGCTATATCCAAGGCAGTGTCGTTGGCTGGCATTGGCAGTAGCGGTTCAGTAGGCTTGTAGAGTGCAGGATGGACTTGTTGCATTTAAGTTTATGGACAGAGAGATGCCCAGGGCCTGCCTCAAAGGATGGGGGATCCTGGTGCTTCCCATCAGTGTTTTCCCTGCAAATCCACTGGTTCAGAGGCAGCGGGGGCTGGGCAGGGGCTCAGGTGTGAAGAAGACATGATGCAGCTGTCTGCCTCGCCTCCCCTCCTAAGAAGGTACTCGGATGTGAAACTAACGCAGAGTGGACACTGAACCTCAGCTGCTGGGCATGCTTGCCCTTCTGGAGACTCTCCACTTCCTGTCATTAGTTCATGGACATCAGGTTTGATTCCGTATCTCAGCTATTGTGAACTGAGCTGCAGTAAACCTGGAGTTACAGATAACCCTTTAAAATCTGCTGATTTCATTTCCTAGGGGTAAATCACCAGAAGAAGGATTGCTGAGTCATATGGTAGATTTATTTTCAGCTTTCTGAGGTATCTCCATACTGTCTTAGGCAGTGGCTTCCCCAGGTTACATTTCTACCAACAGTGTATTAGGGTAGCATAGTGCCAGATCCTCAGCAGCATATATCATTTCTTGATTTTAGTATGAGAGCCATTCTGACTCTGGTGTGGTGAATCCTGAAGGCTAGCAACCTGAGCCTTTTTTCATGTGTCTGTTGGCCAAATGATGTTCCTCTCTTGAAACATGCCTGTTCAAGTCCTTTGCCTATTTTTAAATGGAATTTTTGTTTTGTTGTTGTTGAGTTCCTTGAACTCTTTGTAGATTGTGGATGTTAACTTTTATAAGTTTCATAGTTGGCAGATTATTTTCTCTTATTCATTTGGTTGACTTTGCTCTTTTTAGATTCTGGATATTAATCTTTATTTTTTGACAGGCAGAGTTAGACAGTGAGAGAGAGGGAAAGAGAGAGAAAGGTCTTCCTTTTCCATTGGTTCACCCCCAATTGGCTGCTGCGGCTGGCACACCGTGCTGCTCCAAAGCCAGGAGCCAGGTGCTTCTCCTGGTCTCCCATGCAGGTGCAGGGCTCAAGGACTTGGGCCATCCTCCGTTGCACTCCTGGCCACAGCAGAGGGCTGGACTGGAAGAGGAGCAACAGGGACAGAATCTGTCGCCCTGACCAGGACTAGAACCCAGAGTGCTAGTGCTGCAGGTGGAGGATTAGCCTATTGAGCGGCAGCGCTGGCCTGGATATTAATCTTTTTTCAGTTTCATAGTTAGCAAATAGTTTTTCCCATCCTTTTGGTTGCCTCTTTACTTTTCTGAGTGTTCCTTTTGTAGTGCAGAAGCTTCTCAGCTTGATGGAATCTCATTTGTTTGTTTCAGCTTTTATTGTGCTACTGGCATTTTTTTGCCAGAAATCTTTGTCTAAGCCAATGTAATTCTGTATTCCCCAATGTTCTCTATTAATTTGATGATATTGAGTTTTAGATTTTGTTCCTTGATGTGTTTTAGTTGCTGTTTGTATAAGGTGTAAAGTCTGGGTCTTCTTTCATAGAAGTGCATGTGGAGGTCCAGTTTTCTCAGGACCTTGTTTTGAAGAAACGGTCCTTTGAACCTGGGATTGATCTTCTTGAAAGACAGATTAGTTGTAGATGTGTGTGTTATTTCAGGTGTTTCCTTTCTGTTCCTTTGTTATATATGTCATTTTTTTGCCTGTAGCAAGCTGTTTGGATTGTAACTGTCCTGTGCTGTGTCTTGCAGTCTGTTATTGCGATGCTTCGAGTTTTGTCAATGTTGTATAAGGTTGCTTTCTCTATTCAGATGTTCTGTGTTTTCATATGAATTTTAGCATTGTTTTCTTTCCATCTGGGCAAAATGCTATTTGACCTTTGCTTGGGATCCCATTGTGTCTGTAAATTGCTTATAGTAGAATGGATATTTGCATTATGTTGATTTTGCTAATGAGTCAACGTAGAAGATCTTTCCATTTTTGTGTGTCTTCTTCCATTTCTTAATGTTTTGTAACTTTATTTGTAGACATTTTCATGGATATGAAACTGGACACCGAGTTGATGCTGAAGTTCAGCTGCTGGGTAATCTTCCATTTCTGGGGACTGCTCTGCTTTCTTGTAAAACCCAGCTGTGCCTTCACCCTGGACAGGAGCAACTGGTTAGTAGATGTGGCTGTGTCCTGTTGATGGCAACCCTTGGGCCCAAGGAGGAGAGGAGGGAAGGGAAGAGAAGGGAACCCTGTGCCCTGGGGTTGGGCTGCCAGGCTGACAGCAAAGTGGACTTCCAGATTTTGTGAAGGAAGGTCAAGTGGTGGGAGCCCTATATACATGTGGAGGCAGAAATGTGGGGACCTAGTGTTCCTAGAATAGAGGAACCACAGAGACAGAGTTGAATAAGATATTGGGGAATGAATTCCCTGGGGCTTTGCCAAGAATTAAGGCCCAAAGAACATGTTAAGAAGGGAATAATGGTTGTCCAGGCAGTGGGAAAGGAATCTGGGAGGAAAACTGCCATGTGTTGACTCAGAGAACAAAACATGAGTCTGGTTTGGAGAGACGTGGTAATAGTTGTTTGGGTTTTAGATTTTCAGGCTAAGGACGATGGGACTGCAAGTACTTCATGCAGTGGGAGTGGAGGGTTAGATGCCATGGAAGAACCTGGGGCGTGCAAGGTTTTGGGAGCTGAAAACAGTGTGTGTCTGTATGTCACCATCCTTTGATAGAAAAGGAAAATGGAAGGATTGTGAGGAGGAAGGCAGGCAACTTTGAGGAGAGTTGTGATAGGGAGGAGCTGTAATAGGTCTGCTTGTAATAACTAGTAGAGTATCAGAGTGTGAGATCTGGGACAGGCCCTGGGGAGAAACCTTAGGAAAAGTGAGGGAAGGGATATCAGGAGGCAGGCAGAGGGAACTTTCAGGAGGGATTGTGGAATGGGAGCTGAGTTAATCAGGACATTTGACCAAAGTGTGCAGACTACCAAGAGGTGGAGAAGAGGTTATTTGAAAGAAAATGGGTTGATAAGTGGCTTGGGAACATGGAGATTCTTATTTAGCCTATGAATGAAGTTTGTGGCTTGTAGAAGTCAGAATCTGGGCAGAGGAGTTTCTCTTGGTAAATATATTTTTCTTGACTTTCAAAGGAGTATCTGCTATGTGCCCACATTTGTTCTAGTTATTTAAGGTACTGCAGAGAGCATCATGAGGGTCCATGAAAAAGTCTGTGGAAAGAGGGATTTGTAAGGTTGTTTCATTGTGTGTGTGTGTGTGTGTGTGTACAGAGAGAGAGATAGAGAATTATTCTTCTCCATTCAACTGATGATGTTTGAATTCCTTGGCAATTTCTTGTTTCCCTGCCGTGAAGCATACTGCAATAAATACTGTGGTGAACGTATCACTCTGATACAATATGTTCATGTGTTTTGGGTTGTATCAGTAGAGAATTGTTCCATCATATGACAAGTCTGTTTTTATTTTCTTAAAAAATCTCTATATCGTTTTCCACAGTAGTTGCACTAATTTAAATTTTTACCACCAGGGTGTAATTGTTCCCCTTTTCCCACATCCTCCTCCTCATTGTGACTCTCTGTCCTTTTGGTTTTAGCCAGTATGTACGTGTGAGCTGATATCTCATTGTGGTTTGGACTTGCATTTACCTGGTAGCTTGTGATGTTGAACATTTTTTCCTATATTTGTTGGGCATCTGTATAACTGTCTGTTGAGTTCCATTGGCCATTTCATAACCTGATTGTTGGTTTTTTTGCTTTTTTTTAAGTTGCAAATATATTCTTTTCTTTCTTTCTATTTTTTTAACTTTTATTTATTAAATATAAATTTCAAAAGTACAGTGTATGGATTACAATGGCTTCCCCCATAACTTCACTCCCACTCGCACCTCTCCCATCTCCAGCTCCCTCTCCCATTCCATTCACATCAAGATTCATTTTCAATTATCTTTATATACAGAAGATCAATTCAGTATATATTGAGTAAATATTTCATCAGTTTGCACCCGTACAGAAACACAAAGTGTAAAATACTGTTTCAGTACTAGTTATAGCATTACTTCACATAGGGCAACACCTTAAGGACAGATCCCACATGAGGAGTAAGGACAAAGTGACTCCTATTGTTGACTTAACAATTTGACACTCTTGTTTATGGCATCAATAATCTGCCTAGGCTCTAGTCATGAGTTGCCGAGGCTATGGAAGCCTTTTGAGTTCGCCAACTTTGATCTTATTCCGACAGGGTCATAGTCAAAGTGGAAGTTCTCTCCTCCCTTCAGAGAAAGGTATCTCCTTTGATGGCCCCGTTCTTTCCACTGGGATCTCAGTCGCAGAGATCTTCCATTTAGGTCTTCTTTTTTTTCCCCCAGAGTGTCTTGGCTTTCCATGCCTAAAATACTCTCATGGGGTCTTCAGCCAGATCTGACTGCCTTAAGGGCTGATTCTGACACCAGAGTGCTATTTAGGACATCTGCCATTTTATGAGTCTGCTGTGTATCCCCCTTCCCATGTTGGATCGTTCTGTCCCATTTTTATTCTGTCAATTAGTATTAGCAGACACTAATCTTGTTTGTGTGATCCCTTTGACTCTTAGACCTATCAGTGTGATCAGCTGTGAACTGACATTGATCACTTGGACTAGTGAGATGGCATTGGTACATGCAATCTTGATGGGATTGAATTGGAATCCTCTGGCAGGTTTCTAACTCCATCATTTGGGGCAAGTTCAAATGAGCATGTTTCAAATTGTACATCTCTTCCCTCTCTTATTCCCACTCTTATATTTAACAGGGATCACTTTTCAGTTAAAATTTAAACACCTAAGAATAATTGTGTGTTAATTACAGAGTTCAACCAATAGTACTGGAACAAAAAATACCAAAAGGGATAAAGTATTAAATTGTACATCAACAGTGATGACAAGGGCTGATCAAGTCACTGTTTCTCATAGTGTCCATTTCACTTCAACAAGTTTCCCCTTTGGTGCTCAGTTAGTTGTCACTGATCAGGGAGAATATATGATATTTGTCCCTTTGGGACTGGATTAATTCACTCAACATGGTGTTTTCCAGATTCCTCCATTTTGTTGCAAATGACCTGATTGCATTGTTTTTGACTGCTGTACAGTATTCTATAGAGTGCATTTCCCATAATTTCTTTATCCAGTTTACTGTTGATGGGCATTTGGGTGATTCCAGGACTTAGCTATTGTGAATTGAGCTGCAGTAAACATTAATGTGCAGACAGCTTTTTTGTTTGCCAATTTAATTTCCTTTGGGTAAATTCCAAGGAGTGGGATGGCTGGATTGAATGGTAGGGTTATGTTCAGGTTTCTGAGGAATCTCCAGACTGACTTCCATAGTGGCTTGACCAGTTTGCTATCCACCAACAGTGGGTTAGTGTCCCTTTTTCCCCGCATCCTCACCAGCATCTGTTGTTGGTAGATTTCTGAATGTGAGCCATTCTAACTGGGGTTAGGTGAAACTGCCTGTGATCTTGAATATTTTTTCATGTGCCTGTTGGCCATTTGGATTTCCTCTTTTGAAAAATGTCTATTGAGGTCCTTGGCCCATCTCTTAAGTGGGTTGTTTGTTTTGATGTTGTGGAGTTTCTTGATCTCTTTGTAGAGTCTGGTTATTAACCCTTTATCTGTTGCATAGTTTGCAAATATTTTCCCATTCTGTCCATTGCCTCTTCACTTTCCTGACTATTTATTTTGCAGTACAGAAACTTCTCAACATGATGCAATCCCAAATGGCAATTTTGGCTATGACTGCCTATGCTTCCGGGGTCTTTTCCAAGAAGTCTTTGCCGGTACCTATATCTTGCAGGTTTCTCCAATGTTCTCTAAGAATTGATAGTGTCGGGTCATAGATTTAAGTCTTTAATCCATGTTGAGTGGATTTTTGTGTAAGGTGAAAGGTAGGGGTCTTGCTTCATGCTTCTGCATATGGAAATCCAATTTTCCCAGCACCATTTATTGAATAGACTGTCCTTACTCCAGGGATTGGTTTTGGATCATTGATCAAATATAAGTTGGCTGTAGATGTTTGGGTTGATTTCTGGTGTTTCTATTCTGTTCCATTGGTCTATCCATCTGTTTCTGTCCTTGTACCATGCTGTTTTGATAACAACTGCCCTGTAGTATGTCCTGAAATCTGTTATTGTGTTGCTTCCGACTTTGTTTTTGTTGTACAAGATTCCTTTAGCTATTCAAGGTCTCCTGTGTCTCCATATGAATTTCAGCATCATTTTTTTCCAGATCTAAGAAGAATGTCATTGGTATTTTGATTGGTATCGCATTGACTCTAGAAATTGCTTTTGGGAGAATGGACATTTTGATGATATCTTTTTTAACTTTTATTTAATGAATATAAATTTCCAAAGTACGATTTATGGATTACAATGGCTTCCCCCACATACTGTCCCTCCCACCCACTACCCTCCCCTTTCCCACTCCCTCTCCCCTTCCATTCACATCAAGATTCATTTTCGATTATCTTAATATACAGAAGATCAGCTTAGTATACATTAAGTAAGGATTTCAACAGTTTGCTCCCACACAGAAACATAAAGTGAAAAACAATAGATGATTTTTTAAATGATGATGAAATCAGATCAGACCTATTGTCATGTTTAATCCCAGTGAGAGTCAAGTTGGGAGTTGATAATTTTTTTTTTTTACAGAGGATCAGTTTAGTATACATTAAGTAAAGATTTCAACAGTTTGCACCCGAATAGAAACACAAAGTGAAATATATTGTTTGGGTACTCGTTATAGCATTAAATCTCAATGCAAAGCACATTAAGGACAGAGATCCTACATGAGGAGTAAGTGCACAGTGACTCCTGTTGTTGACTTTACCAATTGACACTCCTGTCTATGGCATCAGTAGTCTCCCTATGCTCCAGTCATGAGTTTCCAAGGCTATGGAAGCCCTCTGAGTTCTCTGATTCTTATCTTGTTTAGACAAGGTCATAGTCAAAGTGGAGGTTCTCTCCTCCCTTCAGAGAAAGGTACCTCCTTCTTTGAAGACCTGTTCTTTCCACTGGGATCTCACTCGCAGAGATCTTTTGCCAGAGTGTCTTGGCTTTCCATGCCTGAAATACTCACATGGGCTTTTCAGCCAGATCCGAATGCCTTTAGGACTGATTCTGAGGCCAGAGTGCTATTTAGGACATCTGCCATTCTATGAGTCTGCTGAGTATCTCGCTTCCCATGTTGGATCACTCTCCCCTTTATTTATTCCATCGGTTAGTGTTAGCAGGTACTAGACTTGTTTATGTGCTCCCTTTGACTCTTAGTCCTTTCATTATGATCAATTGTGAACTGAAATTGATCACTTGGAATAGTGAGATGGCATTGGTACATGCCACCTTGATGGGATTGAATTGGAATCCCCTGGTATGTTTTAACTCTACCATTTGGGGCAAGTCAGCTTGAGCATGTCCCAAATTATACATCTCTTCCCTCTCTTATTCCCACTCTTATGTTTAACAGGGATCACATTTCAGTTAATTTTTAACACTTAAGAATAACTGTGTATTAATTACAGAATTAAACCAGTCATATTAAGTAGAACAGACAAAAAAAAACTACTAAGAGGGATAATGTATTAAGTTGTTCATTAACAGTCAGGGCTATGCTGATCAAGTCACCGTTTCCCATAGTGTCCATTTCACTTCAGGAGGTTTCCTTTTTGGTGTTCAGTCAGTTGTCACCGATCAGGGAGAACATATGGTATTTGTCCCTTTGGGATTGGCTTATTTCACTCAGCATGATGTGTTCCAGATTCCTCCATTTTGTTGCAAATGACTGGATTTCGTTGTTTCTTACTGCGGTATAGTATTCTAAAGAGTACATATCCCATAATTTCTTTATCCAGTCTACCGTTGATGGGCATTTAGGTTGGTTCCAGGTCTTAGCTATCGTGAATTGAGCTGCAATAAACATTAGGCTGCAGACCGCTTTTTTGTTTGCCAATTTAAATTCCTTTGGGTAAATTCCAAGGAGTGGGATGGCTGGGTCGAACGGTAGGGTTATATTCAGGTTTCTGAGGAATCTCCAGACTGACTTCCATAGTGGCTTGACCAGTTTGCTATCCACCAACAGTGGGTTAGTGTCCCTTTTTCCCCACATACTCGCCAGCATCTGTTGTTGGTAGATTTCTGTATGTGAGCCATTCTAACCGGGGTGAGGTGAAACCTCATTGTGGTTTTGATTTGCATTTCCCTGATTGCTAATGATCTTGAACATTTTTTCATGTGCCTGTTGGCCATTTGGATTTCCTCTTTTGAAAAATGTCTATTGAGGTCCTTGGCCCATCTCTTAATTGGGTTGTTGGTTTTGTTTTTGTGGAGTTTCTTGATCTCTTTGTAGATTCTGGTTATTAACCCTTTATCTGTTGCATAGTTTGCAAATATTTTTCCCATTCCGTCGGTTGTCTCTTCACTCTCCTGACTGTTTCTTTTGCAGTACAGAAACTTCTCACTTTGATGCAATCCCAATAGTTGATTTTGGCTTTGACTGCCTGTGCCTCCCGGGTCTTTTCCAGAAACTCTTTGCCTGTGCCAATATCTTGAAGGGTTTCTCCAATGTTCTCTAGTAACTTGATGGTGTCAGGTCGTAGATTTAGGTCTTTAATCCTTGTTGAGTGCATTTTTCTGT